TGGATTTCATGAGATAGTGCACCTACTGTAGTATTTGTTGGGACAAGAAAAGTGCATAAGCCAAAAAGGTGGTATTTGTACCTTGGACTGGAGCAGAACTGATGCAATGGGGCGCAGGGGAAAGTGGCCGGTAGTACGTTGCAGGAAGAGTTGAGCGGGGGCGCCATTGTTAAATTTTTGTGCGTCCGGTACCAGGTAAGACCACATGATTTGGCCCTTGGCGCTCTCCATGCCAAAAACCTACAACACGAAGGGACAGAGCAAACATCAGTAGAATAAATGTAGACGGCAGAGTTGGCAACATCATACGTTTGGGCGGAAAAAATTACCTTGCCAATGGAAGTAACGACAACGATCATCTTATGGAGGTTGTAAACGTCCCGGGTGAGTGGCTGGTCATCTTCAAAGTCCGCGTCGTTGGAGCTTGTTTCGGGTACATCAGCTTCGCTTTCTTTGGGTTGTTTCTGTTTGAAAGGCAGGCTTGAGACGAGATTTCCGAGGGCGTTCTACGGTTGTTAAAAAAGCAAATAGTATAGCTACTTAAACATAGTCAGTAGGTAATTAATACTGCCACACACTTCGTAACACGTCCAGGTAGCGGGCCAAAGGAAAACAAGAATACGTTTTAAAACAAACAGGTCTTCAATGCACCTTTAACTGTTTGGCTTGGGAATGGAGGCGGTTAGCGAAGAGTTGGAATATGCCCGCTAAAATTAAGAGGGTGGGGGGATATGAAAGTTGTAGAAGAGGGTGCAGTAATTTTAAGTAAACTGCCAGACAACACAGAGACGGCCGTGAGACGCCTCCTTACCATTCACGTTGCCAAACTCATCCTCCATTGTGGCCTGTTGCGGAGATACGGGAAGGTCAAACATCTCAACCGCAGTTATGTGGGAAAGTGATTCCTCACGCAGCCAAACTCTGTTGCCTTTTAGGGAGAAAATTAAGAGGTTTAAAGCGTCTTGTTAACATCTTTAAGTCGCGATATACAAACACACACAGCGGGGGAGAAATTGCTGTTGTCACAGCACACTGCTTATAAGCTCGTAAGTAACACACACCTCTTCCCGCTCTGTTCAGTGCAAGTCAAGCAGCCGAGCATGAGCTAGCCGGTCAGTGTTTAAGGGTTAGCACCCGGGCATCAGTCTAGTGGTCATCAAATATGGCATATTCATCATCGCTCAGGATTCGCAATCACATATAGGATTTTAATACAATGGGTGGAGTTCTGGATATGCTTCGGTGAAACTACGGTTTGGATGAAATGCCCTAAGACGTTCGACGTAGGCGTTCCTGGAAGACGCTATAGCACAACCTCAAGTGCGTATTCGCCTTCCGTCTCACGTACCCACGCCACGCTGAGAATCATTTGATTAATGCTCTCGTGCTGCCTTTGGGACAGCCAATCACAGGCGCGCGCGCGCGCGCGCGCACAAACTTCCTTATCATCCGATCAACTGGCCAGGCTGGCGCTTATTCATTCGCGCGCATATAACCCTAACACGCGCGCGCGTAGACCCACAACCGGAAGCGCACGTCAGGGGCTCTGACTACCGTCGGAATTGATTAGGCTGCGCAGATCCTCTCGGAGTCCATGCCTGATGTCGTGAACTTTTCCCCTCAGCGCGGGTTGACGATCTCGGCAGCCAAGTCGTCCGTCACTGTTTTCACACTGGACCC